TACCAGATGAGGATGCTCTTAGTAACTTTGTGATCTGTTTACCTTATTAAAACTTTTCTGGAAAACTCATTAAGATCAAACAAAAGATAAGAAAAAAAAATTACAAATTATCACAAATCCATTAGTGATCATTTTAGATTTGTATCAACACCAAAATGTTTTTAGGCGAGTCTTCTCCAAGAAAGTCCAACTGATCTTTAGGTGTGACCATTTAATGAAGTAAGCCTCCAATTCTTCGCATAAATTTCTTAATTCTTGTTCGAGTTCCGGTTGGTAACACACTAAAATTGCAGAATGACGGAAAAATAAAGCTGTGGAATGACTTCTTGTTGAACTGCGAACATATTTTTCTGATATGATTGGATAAATTATACATAATGGCAGAAAGACAGAATATAATTATTCAAAAATATTTTTATTATATATTATAGAAATTAAAATATTAATAATTAGATTAACTATTATAAAATAATATAATTTCTTATGTAATTATTTTTCTAATTTGTTTTCAAAATAAAAAGAATATAAAATTAAAATATTATAAAACTTAAAAAATAGACATAATTTTAACATAAAATAATTTTTTTGTAGGACCAAATTATTTATTTGTATTTATTTAAATAATAAAATATAATTAATTAGATGATTGAATAATATAAAATATTGATTCTGCAAATAATCTACTTAAAACATTTTGGCATCTTAAGCTTTTGTGTTTTTCCACAGATAATTCTCATTGGCAAATTTTGCATTTTTATGTTTTCTGTCATTCTGCTAAGTTTACCAATAAGAGCCTAAGTCTTCTTCGACTCGAACTCCAGATCTAGCTTGGCTACAAGTTCAGTCTCATTGGTGTTATCCGTGTTTACATCACTGGTTTTAATGAAGTAGCAACACCGTTGCCGCAGCATCATTTCTTTACATAAGTAGCCACTCCTGCCTCTGTTTGGCATCTTTTTTTTTTGTTAATTAACTTGTCGCCGGTGACTCACTCCCGAACATATCATCACTGGTTTATAGCCGAAACACTATAGGTCTATTTGTTTTCCTAACACAGCGTTAGAGATATACAGCCAAAAAAAAAAAAGAACACATCAGCAACATGTCAAAATAAGGTTGGAGGTACTATAATCTGCCGCGGGCGATACAAAACATAAAATACAGATGCGGGAGTGGCTGCAATTTACACGTGACAATTAAAGTGATTTAACTAGTGCTGGTAACAGTTATGTATCAACACCATGTTAAACTTTCTCTCTGCTGTTTGTTAATTTTTGGCCGCACGTCTCTAATGCTCCGTTAGGAAAACGAACAAGGTTTATACAGAATTCATAGATACATAGATTGATACCTGAACCCATTAACGAACACGGGACATTAACTGTGAAGAAGCCATAGAAGTTATGAAAGTGTTTCTTGTTGATTTCAGAGTTAGGCAACGCCTTATATACAAAGTGTTTACCCTAATGTACATACTGCTAATTTACATTAGTCGAGGCCCAAAAGGCCTCCAATACCCCCCCCCCCCCCCCCCAAGGTGGAGTGTGGATGTTAAGAACACCCATCTTGAGAAAAAACTCCTCAAACTCTTTCCTACCCAAAGCTTTGGTCATAATATCAGCCAATTGTGTCTTTGTAGAAACATGCTTAGTCGTTATGGTGCCACGGATGATTTCATCACGGATGAAGTGACAATCCCTCTCTATGTGCTTTGTACGAGCATGAAATACTGGATTGGCGGCTAGTTGAATAGCAGAGAGACTGTCAGAATGTAACGTGATCGATGCTGAACAATCAATACCAAGCGTCGGCAAAAGTTCACGTAACCATAAGAGTTCCTGGACTGTGTCAGCCATAGCTCGGTATTCAGCTTCAGCTGAAAAACGTGAGACCACATCATGCTTTCTTGTTTTCCAAGACAATGGAGAACCACCAAGTTGAATAACCCAGCCCGTTAAGGAGCGACGTGTTAACGGACAGCCTGCCCAATCAGAGTCACACCAAGCAGTAATAGTCAAATCTGAATCAGAGCTGAGAACTCATCCAGTATTGTTAAAAAGTAACGTGATCCACAAAGAGCTGTAGTACGATATGGACCCCAAAGATCACAATGAATCTTCTCAAAAACTCGACTAGTTTTATTAATACTCAAAGGAAATAAATCTCTTGTTTGCTTGGCGCGGATACAAACATCACACGTCTTTGAATCAAAAACACCACTACTAAAATCAGATAACTTCAACATCTCTAAAGCTTTAGAGGAAGGGTGTCCGAAGCGACAGTGCCAGAGCTCCGTAGATTGTGAACTCGTGCCTTGTATAGCCGCTGCAGTAGCCACTCCTCTGAAGAAATAAAGACCATTCCTTTGCTCACCCGCTCCAATCAGCATCCGAGTGATGCGGTCCTGAACAACACAGATCCTATCAGTAATCTGAAACACACATTTGCTATCTCTAGTCAACTGTGAGACTGAAATTAGATGACACTGAAGACCATCCACGTAGAAGACATTATTGAGAGATACAGAAGAACACAAGTTCACTTTTCCTTTGCGATGTGAAGTTGTATAACTACCATTAGGAAGCTTAATCATGATCGGTGGCATATCAGAAATATCAGTTAAGAAGTCAATACTTCCGGTCATGTGGTTGGAGGCTCCTGAATCAATAATCCAAGATTCTAGAAAGTACTTACTAGTTAAGCGATCGTTCGGTGCTGGTTTGCGTTCCTCAAGCATCTGCACGAGAGCCTTCCAATGTCCCTCGTTGAGACCACTGATGCCAATGCGGTCAGGCGAAGTAAGATGTGCATGTGCTACGGAGGATGAATCTTCACAAGCCGTCACGTGATTAACCCGAGCTGATTCAGTGACACGATCTTTTGAAGAATTTGGGTTCGTGAGGATGCCACGTCCTGCTCCGCTGCTATCAGACCCGCGAGAGTATGCAGATCCAAAATTGTTGCGATTCTTTTCACCAAACCACGCAGGGTAGCCAATTTTACGGAAACAGTTCTCAGCTAGATAACCCTTCTTTCCATAGTGAGTGCAAACGATGGAAGTGTTACCTCTGTTTTCTGAGAAATTTCATGAGTTTGATGTTTGAGCCGCAAAGCTGAGCGCGTCGATGCGATCCTCGTTCATAGGCGCAGTAGTTTTTGACTCCTCATATTGAGTGAGAACATTGTATGCCTCATCAAGTGTGGGTAGAGGATCACGAGAAAGAAAGTTTGACTTAACAGCTCCGTAAAGAGATTCATCTAACCCCATTAGAAATTGATGGAGTTTGTCATCTTCTCTTTCTTTTTGAATTTCAGCTGCAGTCTTTGCTCGTTGGTAGTCAGATAAGCTACTCCATAGTTTAGTGAGTTGTCCGTAATATGCTTCAATTGCAAGTCCTTTTTGTCGACAATTGGCAAGCTCTGTTTTGAGCCTTTGCACCCGTTGCCCATTTTTCACTGAGAATCGCCGTTGAATGTGTAGCCATAGATCATGTGAATCATCACTGTGTGAAACGGAGGATCGAAGTGATTCGGAAATAGTGAGTTTGATCCAAGAGATAACGAGTGTGTTATTTGCACACCAATCTTCATAATCTTCAGAGTCGTCATCAGGACGAGGTATAGAACCATCTGCAAATCCAAATTTCTTTCGAGCTTGTAATGCCAACCGTAGATTTGTAGACCATTCGTCGTAGTTTGGTCCACGCAACAACGGCTGGGAGATGAGAGTGCCTGGATTATCGCCAGATGTGAGGTCATAAGGGGAGATGGTTCTTCTCACGTATTCAACACGGGATTTAGATTTTCTTGTTGTGGTTGCAGATCCATCATGTGAAGAATCTGTTGTCATTGAGAAAGCTTCGACGAAGAGAGATCGAGGAAGATGAAGTCAATTGAAAGGAGTTTTAAGAAAACAGAGTAAGAAAAGATCGATACCAATAACCGTTGTTTTTAGGTTATTAGCTCTGATACTATGTGAAGAAGCCACAGAAGTTATGAAAGTGTTTTTTGTTGATTTCAGAGTTAGGCAACGCCTTATATACAAAGTGTTTACCCTAATGTACATACTGCTAATTTACATTAGTCGAGGCCCGAAAGACCCCCAATATTAACGTAGTCAAAAGCTAGCGAAAGCCCTAACAAGGGAAACATACAGATAAATAAGAAAATAAAAACAATGAGAAAAGGTTTCCAACAAACTCTCCAGAGGACCAGAAAACGACGATGCTGACGAATAACTCTAATTCTTAATTAAGCCTGAGCCACTGATTCGAACCACTCCAATGAACTCACCAGAGAACCAGAAGACGGCGATACTGAACCACAAAACAAAAGCTTGGAGAAAAACCGCGAAAAGGCTCTTCACCAGAAACCCGGAGAAGTTGGCCTAAACCGAACTCCTGCTTAAGAGCAACGACAAAGCAGAACGCAAAACAGAACAGGAAACGAGCAAAGAACCAGACTAACACCACCTCACCAAGGAAACGATGCCCTCAAGCCGACTTATATAGGGAGAGAACCCTTGATCTTCAACAGGAAAAACAGTATTTATTCAGCCAATGCATAAACAAAAAAAAGTGTATATTTTGTAGAAAAATTTACACATTTATGCATTCCATAGACAAGTGGAGGTACTATTTACTGGACAATATTATATTCACCATGTACAGATTTTCCATATATAAACAAATTTGTATGTGAAATATACTTTTTTTACTATAAGAAATTATATGCAAGAGAAATAAAACTTGATAATTAATTGCAGTATTTTCAAGCGAAGACATGAAAATAACATTTGGTGTACGACGGTAGCATAGTTTTAAAAACAGCTGAGACAATAGTAATGTGTCAAATTTCCCAATTTCAAACTTAAATTTGATTTACTTTTTTTTTTGGCTTTCTATCTTATTTGAAATAAACAGATAAAAGTCAATAAAATTTCCGACTCTCTAATAAAAACAAACATATTATGATCAAAATAACAGTACTAATTAGCACTTTTAAGATTGAGGACTTACACCGAAACCCAAAGCCTCGAGAACTTCAACTGGATCAAGTTCAATATCCATTTCTTCAACTTTATCCCAATCAATATACGTATCCACTGGATCTTCCTCATCCCCCGTGACAGAAGAAGATAAGTTGGTTTCCCGAGAAGTTGTTTCTCGAAGGAGGCTGGTGTCTGAGTTTTGTAATGTACTGAACTGAACTTTAACCACTTCAAGAGTATTGTATGGAGGATATGTACTATACGAATGGTGTGGAATATGTGTTTGTATTGATTTTTGTGTCAACGAAAGTAGAATTACGTTGTTTGAAGTGCTCTAAAATAACAAGAAAAAACAATCATATGTAAATTATTATTTAGCAAAATGTGATTTCCTGTATATATATGTGTGTATGTATGTATTGCAAAATCAAATGTCAAAGAAGTGTCATTACCTGATGACTAGAATCAATTTTTGGTAGTACCGCTGTAGGCAGAGAAGTTGCATTGCGATTTGAGTTGTGAATGTGACAATCATCATTGAGCTGAAGTTCTTGCTGAGTTATAACAGTAGATGAGCTAGGCATTGATTGTGGCTCAATGGTCACATATGGGTTGATGAAACCTTGAGCCATGTTGTAGTTGTAACTGTCGTTAAGTCGTGGCTTTCCTTGAGTCGAATGTGTCAATGAGGTATGCACATGCTGTGGCTCATACAATGAACATGGTTTACTTGTCTGTCGAGTAGAATCACACAGAGATAGACAAGCCTTATTCCCATTGCAAAGGTCACCAGCGTAAGTGGTAGTGCTTGGAATGGCAGTAGTTGGTTGTTGTGAATCGTTCATTTTAAATGGACTTGTCTCTCTCTTTAAGAAGTGGTATGACGATGGTGTTATGGATGGAGCCGTACTTGCCTTTAAATGTTGTGCCTCCAACATATTACGGTTATTTCCTATTGCAAAAGCCATTTGCATTCTTTCTTCCTCCCGACATCTTTGTAAATGTAAATCGCGCTACAAAGTATTTTTCACAGTTAACGAAAACGATTCGATAAAAAGATTTTTATGTGCAAATCGATAAATAATTATTAATTAATGAAAAACAAGTCATATAAATTTACCTCTATAAGCATGTAAAGTGATCCGTGGACTTCTTTTGCCTTTTTTGGCTTGACCGCTCCCATAACTTTAGGTCTTCTACTCAATTTTGTATTAACATGTTCAAAAATGGCATAAGTTATGAAAATGACAATTTTGTTTTGGAGTGAAAAAACATGTGTTAATATTATAAGATAAAAATAGTGTTTTACTTACATGTTTACTTGTGGGCGAGATGAATTTGATGAAGCATATGTTTTAATGACGCGTCGAGTTGTTTTATAACCTTAAGAAATAAGATAGAACACAAAGCATATTGACCAAGCATAATTTTTATATGATCATTTAGAAATAACTAAATGTAGATATATTAAATAAGTTTTTCAAAAGTAGTTTAACAAATTAAAAATAGAAATGTTTTCTTATTTGCTAAACAATACTTAAAATATTCATATATAATAATTAAGAAATAAATATATATATCTAATAGTTGTAGGAAAAATAAATACTTTTCTTTTATTTTCAAAGCAATACTTAAAATCATTTTTCAAAAGAAGAATATGGTACCCCAAAAAAACATAAAATTAAGGGAATGGAGCTGAACATACGCTTATTATATGGATCTGATTCATCCCGTATGTTACACTTTCCAAGTCTAAACTTCTGAAAAGATAAGAAAACGCATGTTAAAAAACAATTATGAAAATTTAAACTTAATTTTAACTCATATGAAGAAGATATGAATTTAAGTGACTTGAAGATGACTCTTCACATGGTGAAGTGCAATTCCTTCAACTTCCATCATCTCTTTAACACTTTTTGGTGTTGCCTCTGTAGAAACAGAAATAGTTCTGATATAAGCTTTTTGCCCCCAAAAAAATAAAATTGTGAAATAAGCTTTTGGTCTTTTATATGTCTACCAACACGTATTTTTATGTAAGCTTAGTCATCTCACTAACATTGCGGACATAAAAATTTATTTAATATCAAGCACATATTTTTATATATTTTAATTAATAAAATAAATTATCAAAAATATAGTACTAATAACAAAAAAAACTATATCAAATGAAATGAAAAACTTAGGTTAATATTATGTGACAAAAGATTTATTTTTTAAAAACTCTTACAAAATTATCCTACAGTCTTACTATTGACTAGATAACATGGAAACACAAGCAAAATACAAAACAAAAATAACATATATAAAATTGTGGATAAGCAAGTCAACACAGTTTTATACTGTCTTTAATTTGGATTTTCAAATGGAAGCTGAATTTTGATCGTTTGAATATTGGATAAATAAAACATCAGGCTATATATAATTACTATCCAAAAAAACAAATCAGTATGGGGCACGTGCCACCAAACTTTGTACGTGCGTCCGCCTATGTTACAAATGTTATTGGATGTTTTAATCCTCTAAAGTGTGTCCAAGTTCAACCATTCATGGACTAGTAAGTAAGATTTAGTGGGTAATGATGATGTACATATTTTATGGTTTTTGTATAATTGAAAATCAGATTTTGACTTCAATGCGATAAGAAATCTTTCACAAATAGTCAAATATGAATGCAATGACCCGTTTAAAATGCAAACAATACTTCCTCCATTTTTAAATGATACAGGTTTTAAGTTTTAAGTACATACTGTATTAACAAAATTTTAGAAATAATTTTTGTTACTTTTTTTTATAAACTATTTCTTGATTTTTTTTTAATATTATACAGGTAGTTATAGAGGTAAATTAAGTAAAATACAACAATAACTACACCAATAATTTTGAAAGTATCTAACTTTTTGAAATAGATATATTTTTCTCAAAAATATCAGTATCATTTAGAAACAAAGAGAGTAATATTCATTAATTTGACATCAATTAAAAACGAAAGAAACATCGATCACATATCGAAAATCCAAAATAAATATATTCGAAAGTTACTCGCGACTAATAAAATGTGGGATTCTAAGTTTATTGCTACAAAAAAACTAGGCAAGATCAAGATTAACAACTAAAATTCCTACAGTTTTACCAGCACAAATTCAATACATTAATTCAACAAAAAAAAGACTTAAACAAGTTCAATTTTCAGCAAAATAAAAAGAACCAACATATGTAGACAAGTTTAAAATTTTTTGAAGCAACTTATTTATTTGATCATGTTTTAAGAACGAGCTGTCCTGGTAATAACCAAAATTAAAAATTAAAAAAACTATGAGTTATTTAAGAGATGCGGAAATGTTTCTATGAAATATTAAGTTAAGTAATGTATATACCCTTTTTTAATCACATATGTACTTCATATAAACAAAACATATCTTCCTTTTCTCCTCAATATTAACTAAATATAAACAAGACCAAACATAAGTATCAGCTACTCACAATAGATATGCATGCAAACTTTATCTATTATAATCTAGAAACACACAAAAATACTTGTAATCATGTTTTCCTCCTAAAAAAATATATCTTGAAATTGATGAATCTTAAATGTTGAAATACTTATTAAAAAAAAGAGTAAATTCATAGATAGATGCCGATCACAAACATAAATAGACCAATTCCTAGATGACATCCATGCATGTATTCACAGAAAACCTTTAAACCCAAAGAAACATAAAAACCATGGAAATTTACAAACTAAAGATGGATATAACGAGAAACAAAAATAAAGTAGATCGATAACATGAAAATGTAAATGAAGAAATGAAGAATCCAAGAAATATAAGTAAGATTTTATGTTACTAACTGTCAGGTCCACCGAGTTTCGCCACAGCATTGACAAAGCAATCGTGAAGATCGCTTGACCACCGTAGTCGCGCCTTATCATCTGACGTATAGAAAATGCATGGCGTGATCTTCGAAGATAAACTCTTCTTTTCCTGAATACCAACTTTCTCATCATTCTCTTTCTTAGAATTTTCTTTATGTGTCTCCTCCTTAGCTTCTAGGACAGCCGCTATTCCTTGCTCACTACTGAAAGACAAAGACATGGAGACTTCTTCGGTATGATCAAAGTGCTTGACATGATGAAGAGAAGTGGTATTCTTTTCTTCGAAAGTAACAATTTCTTTCCCTTTTTCTTTCTTCTTCAGCTCTTGGGAACTCATCTCCAATTTTTGAATCAAAGAGCTTAAAACTTTATCAGCTTCAAAAAAAAAATTTCTTTTGGTTGATTTGTATTCAAGTTAGAGTGGTTGAAGGTATTATAGTGAGGAAAAAAAATGGCAATCTAACTTTACTTTAGTTAAAAATAAAAATAAAAAACAATTTTTAAAAATCCAAAAAGGAAAAAAAAAACAATAATCAAGGTTCAATGAACAGTAACTACGGGTTAAGGTAACAAAATTCAGTGATCTTTAAGAAGATGATTGGCTTGTCATTTTTTTAAATATTCACAAAAGAGTTATTTAATTGTACCCAACAAGAAGATCAAAAAAGTCGAGAGCCAGCATTTTAATGGGGGTTACAGACTCATTTCAGAGAATGACAAAAATGTTATAAATTAAAGTTAGAAGAAGCCAAGAGGTATTCGCAACGGCTGGTTTGGAACTTACTTTCTTGAGGATATGAAAATTGGCAATTTATGAATACTTTTTTGAATATGGGAAAATACCGAGGTAGTGTCAAATTTCTATATATATACAATGTGTACCCATGCGTACATACATCAATTCTATAGGTTCAATACATAAATTAGATTCCATAAAAACAAAAACTATTTTATGACGGTAGTCCTAATTAAAAAAAACAAATTGCTACTTTAGGTGCCTTGTTTAATGGAACATATATCTATCATTTTTAATATGTACATTCAGAAAATTTATAATAATCTTAAAAAGTAATGATTGTAAGCATAAATTTTTTTATTAAAAAGAATAATTTTGATATTTAAATTTATTATTTTTAATTGATAATTAATCTGCACAATCGAATAATATATAAACGCAAATTTATAGAAATATGAAATCAAACAAAATGATTTTTCTTTTTGATACGTTTCTTTTTAAGATCGACAGTTTGATGGTAAATAAGGGTTGTATTGCATCCTTTAGACACAAGGATCAAAGGACAAATGATTGATTCGAATGGTTGAATCGAATGGTCACACAGAAAGGACGGAATCACTTCTTATTTACCAAGGTGATGAATGGTTACACAAAGGTTATGAAAGAGACTTTGATTCACCGTTTGATCTTTCGTATGTTGGCGTAAGTTTGAAGACTCCATAAATAGATTAGGAATATAAATTATACTTAGGAGATATCTAAGTGTAATAAGAATAGGAAATTGTCCTAAAGGGAAAAAGGAAACTTGTTTAGGTTCTTTATTATATAAGGATGTCGAGCTGTGACATAATCTTGAGAGATTAAGAGCTTTAGTTTTGAGTGATTTTCTAAGGCTAATAAAGAGAGTTATTCTTTATATTTGTGTTCTCAATATTCTTAAATTCTATATTTGGTATCAGAGCTTTGTGAAAGATCGAGAAGAAATTTTTCATATTGCTCTGTTTTGTGAAGAAGAAAACAGAGAGTTGGTGATCGGAATTATCACAAACAATGAGTGACATCGTCGCTGCTACAAGCGCAGCTGAAAAAAAACCACCCGAAGGAGGATCTTCATCGATCAAGTGTCCTATGCTAAACTCAAAAAATTATACAGTATGGGCCATTCGAATGAAGATTTTGCTCAAAGTCCATAAGGTTTGGACAATCATAGAAACGGCAGCAGATGACAGCGAAAAGAACGATATGGCCATGGCTCTGCTATTTCAATCAATCCCAGAGGCACTCATACTACAGGTTGGAGAGTTAGAGACGGCAAAACAAGTATGGGAAGCCATTAAAGCAAGACATGTGGGAGCGGAGAGAGTCAAAGAAGCAAGGTTACAAAGGTTGATGGCAGAATTCGATCGCCTTAAGATGAAAGAATCCGAGAAAATCGACGACTTCGCCGGGAAACTATCTGAAATCTCATCGAAATCTGTTGCCCTTGGAGAAATCATCAAAGAGTCAAAGCTTGTCAAGAAGTTTCTTAAGAGTCTTCCTCGGACAAAGTACATACATATCGTAGCATCGCTTGAGCAAGTTTTGGACCTCAAAACTACAAGCTTTGAAGATATCATAGGCCGCCTTAAAGCCTATGAAGAACGCATCACCGAAGAAGCAGAAGAAACTCAAGAAGATCAAAGCAAGCTAATGTATGCAAATAATGATACTCAATCGGCACAGTCATCTCGCGATTCCAATGGCGGTTATAGAAGCAGAGGTCGTGGAGGATGCTTTAATAACAGAGGAAGGGGTCGTGGACGATCATATGAATCGAGAGATTTATCCGAAATAATGTGTTTTCGATGTGACAAATATGGACACTTTACATCAAAGTGTCCAGATCGATTACTTAAACTGCAAGAAACACAAGAAAAGGACGATGATGAGATGGAAGGAGTAGACGAACTCATGATGCACGAAGTTGTTTATCTCAACGAGAGAAAGATCATACCAAGTAAATATGAAGAAAACGGCGGAGGAGAAGACATATGGTACCTTGACAATGGAGCCAGTAACCACATGTCCGGAGATTTGAGGTATTTCTCCAGGATCGATTACAACATTACAGGGGAAGGTAAGGTTTGGCGATGACTCACGGATAGACATTAAAGGGAAAGGAACCGTTAAATTTACGGACAAAAACGGCGAGCTAAGGATACTATCTAATGTCTACTACATCCCAGGTCTAAGAAGCAACATTGTTAGTCTAGGACAAGCTACAGAATCAGGCTGCAATGTGCGAATGAAAGGAGAATATCTAACAGTTCATGATCGTAATGGAAGACTACTCTGTAAAACAACAAGATCACAAAATAGGTTGTACAAGGTTCGTATGGGGATACAGAATAACAAGTGCCTACAATTGGTGATAACAAGTGATTCAAGCAAGTGGCATGCGAGGTTAGGACACATTAATTTGGACACAATCAAATCTATGATACAAAGAGAGCTTGTTATAGGAGTTTCCAAAATTAATGTTGAGAATAAGGTGTGCAAGTCGTGCTTACTTGGCAAACAAACGAGACAAGTTTTTCCACAAGCCACTATGTACCGAGCTACTAAGGTGCTAGAGCTTGTACATGGTGATCTTTGTGGCCCCATAACATCAAGCACGGCAGCAGGAAACAGGTACATATTTGTTCTTATTGACGATTACTCCAGATATATGTGGACGAGTTTGTTGAAAGAGAAGAGTGAAGCATTCAACAAATTCCAAAAGTTTAAAAGCTTGGTAGAGAAAGAAACAGGCGCAAGCATACAAACATTCCGGACAGACAGAGGTGGAGAGTTTGTATCACAAGAATTTCACTCTTTCTGCGACAACTCAGGCATAAAAAGGCATCTCACAGCTCCATACACTCCTCAGCAGAATGGCGTGGTAGAGAGACGAAACAGAACCTTGATGGAGATGACGAGAAGTATTTTGAAGCACATGGATGTTCCAAATTTCTTATGGGGAGAAGCAGTGAGACACTCCACTTATCTGTTAAACAGAATAGCTACGAGATCAGTAAAGGAACAAACTCCATACGAAGCTTTTCACGGAAGAAAGCCAAACATCAATCATCTCCGAGTTTTTGGATGCATTGGGTACTCAAAAGTGGAGATACCACACATGAGAAAACTAGATGACAGATCACGTATGCTAGTTCATCTGGGCACAGAACCAGGATCAAAAGCATATCGATTGCTTGATCCAAAAAGTCATAAGATAGTGGTAAGTCGGGATGTGATCTTTGATGAAACAAATGGCTGGAGTGGAACAAAAGTAATGAGGAGCGAGATAGAGCTGGCAGTTTCAGGATCAGTATTGGAGTTTATGGTAATCACGGCATTCAAAATACAGAGTATGTCACAGAATAAACAGGGGATATCAATGAGAAAAACGCAGATGATGAAGGATCGGGTGCTGCTATACACAACGACCAGAACGAGGAGCAAAACAGTGTTGATGAGGAAGATGATAACGAAGATGATACTGCAGGCCAGGCGGGGTTAAGAAAGACAACAAGACAAAGGAGAAAACCAAAGTACTTGGAAGCATATGAGATGCCAAAACACCTTGATAACTACGCCTTACTTGCAGATAAAGAGGGAGAATGGTTATTGATGTGCTTAAACAATGAACTGAGGAATTTCAGTGAGGCAAAAGAATCAGATAAGTGGATGCTTGCCTGTAAGGATGAAATTCATTCGATTGTCAAAAACAATACTTGGAATCTTGTTGATCTTCCAGCTGGAGCAAAACCAATAGGTTTGAAGTGGGTGTTCAAACTTAAGAGGAACTCAGATGGCAGCATAAACAAATACAAAGCCAGACTTGTTGCAAAGGGATATGTTCAAAGGCATGGGATTGACTTTGATGAAGTGTTTGCTCCAGTAGCTTGGATTGAAACAATTCGCCTTCTCATCAATCTCGCAGTGTCTAATGGATGGGAAATCCATCATCTTGACGTTAAAACAGCGTTTCTTCATGGAGAGTTGAAAGAAACAGTCTATGTCACGCAACCAGAAGGATTCGAAGTAGAGGGATGCGAAGATAAAGTTTACAAGCTTAGCAAAGCTTTGTACGGTTTGCGACAAGCACCTAGAGCATGGAATGACAAGCTGAACCAGATTCTCAGAGGACTCCAGTTCCTGAAGTGCTCTAAGGAACCTTCAGTATATCAGAAAAGGGTGAAGGAGGATACTCTTCTGGTCGCTGTATATGTAGATGATTTGTTTGTTTCGGGAACAAATATTCGAATCATAGAATCATTCAAGAAAGAGATTGCGTCCAAATTCGAGATGAGCGATCTTGGAAGATTGACTTATTATTTAGGAATTGAGGTGTGTCAACAAGATAATGGTATAACTCTGAATCAAAATCGATATGCCTTGAAGATTTTGGAGGAGGCTGGAATGAAGGATTGCTATCCGGTTCATACACCAATGGAGGCTGAACTGAAACTTTCAAAATCACCTGAAGAACGAGACATTGATGCCACGAGCTATAGGAAAAACATAGGATGTCTTCGTTACTTACTTCACACAAGACCAGACCTATCTTATTGTGTAGGCGTGTTAAGTCATTATATGCAACAACCTAAGGAGTCTC